CATTTTAGCCTGAAAAATGCTCCTAGCCTTTTTCAAGGACCATTGATTATGTTTTGAGAGAACAAATCGGAAAGACATGTTATGTTTATGTGGACGATGTTATAATTTTTTCCGAAAACGAGGAAGACCACATTAGACACATTTCGTGGGTCTTGACTAGATTGGTTGAAGCCAACATGAGAGTTTCTCGTGAAAAATCTCACTTTTTTAAGGAGAGTGTTGAATATCTTGGCTTCACCGTATCTAGAGATGGCATCAAAACGTGCCCAGAAGAAGTGGAGGCGATTCGCAATTACGAATAGCCCACTACACTTTATAACATCAGGTCATTTCTAGGCCTGACAAGTTATTACAGATGTTTTATTAAAGACTTTGCTTCAATAGCAAAACCTCTGTATGACATTTTAAAAGGGGACATTGGGAAGGTTAGCGCCTCTCAATCAAGGAAAATTAAGATTAATTTTGATGAAATTCAACTCCAAGTTTTCCAAAAGTTGAAAGAAATCCTTGCCTCCGAAGATGTCTGACTGTTATACCCTGACTTTAAGAAGCCATTTAATTTGACAACAGACGATTCGGCATTAGGACTAGGGGCAGTGTTGTCTCAAGGTGGTAGGCCTATAACAATGATTTCCAGATCATTGACCTAAAGGGAGCTAAATTATGCCACTAATGAGCGTGAATTATTAGCTTTTGTTTGGGCTATAGGAAAATTGAGAAACTACCTTTATGGTGTTAGGCCACGGACCACCAACCCCTTACGTTTGCGGTCTCAGACAAAAACCCAAACGCAAAAATCAAACGTTGTATGGCCTTTGTTGATGAACATAACGCCAAAATCTTCCACACACCTAAAAAAGAAAATTATGTGGCAGACGCCCTCTCAAGACATGCCATACATTGTTTGGAATTAAATTCACACGACACCGTGAATCCAGATTCTCAGATCTTATATGCATTGGAAGATGATATCTCATCAGAGGCAGCGACAGTATACAGTGAGATATTTTAACTCATACGATTGACTGTTTCAAGAACAACAGATTATACTCCACGAGGCAAACTTTCCTAAAACTAGAAAGTTCATCATTTATTCGGAGAAAGTCCGTCATATGATTGACTTCACTGACAAGAACACTCTAGTCAATGATGTGAAGTTAGTAGTCGGCCCAAATTTTGTAAATTCCATTCATTGCGATCTGCCTACTCTTGCGTGCATCCCGCACGAATTGGTAAGTCTTTTTCCAAGAACAAAATTTTGGCATTGCAAGAATATGGTTCAAGATATTTTTGATTAAAATGAACAAAGAGAGATAGTTGTTACTGAATATAATCGTGCTCATAGAGCAGCACAGGAAAACGTTACACAATTTCTCTCAGACTATTACTTCCCAAACATGGTTAGGATAGCAAACGAAGTTGTGGCAAACTGTAGAGTATGCGCCAAAGCGAAATATATTAGGCACCAGAGGAAACAGGAGATGGGTTTAACACCGTACCCCTCCTATGTTGGTGAGATGCTGCATATCGATATATTTTCCACAGATAAGAAATACTTTCTAACCTGTGTGGATAAATTTTCATAATTCGCTACTGTACAGACTATACCTTCACGAACCATAGCTGACCTAAAAGGTCCAATATTACAATTAATGAATTTATTTCCTCATACGAAGAATGTCTACTGCGACAATGAAAAGTCCGAGACAATATGATCCCTATTGCGAGACAACTTTGGTTTCAATATTTCCTACGCATCCACCCATTAATAGTACTTCAAACGGGAAAGTTGAACGCTTTCACAGTACCCTTTCAGAGATCTCAAGATGCCTCAAATTAGAAAAAAAAGATTGAGAGTACGGTTGATCTAATCCTACTTGCAACAGTGAAATATAACCGAACCATACACTCTGCGACAAACCAAAGACCAATAGACATAATTCACTTTTCATCGGAAGATGGTAAAGAGAAGGTGAAAGAAAGATTAACTAACGCTCAACTCACATCGTCTCGACAGAATAGATCATTTAATGTTGGAGACAGATTGATGGTAAGGAACAATAAACGGTTAGGTAATAAACTAACCCCCCTATATTCTGAGAAAATAGTTGAAGCAGATCTAGGAACAACTGTTCTTATAAAAGGGAGGGTAGTCCACAAGGACAATTTAAAATAATACGAACACGCCCTTACTACCTTTTTTTGAATTAATTACCTCTTTCAGCTGATTTTGACAATGATACTATCCATCCGTCCAACTACAGCAACACTAATGGACTATTCCAACAGTAAATACATCCCGATTACAGACGGCAACGTGATTATTTGGAGAGATTTTGACTACTTGAGACATACATAGCATATGAAACTGAAAGCCTCACCAAACATTTTTCTTTATCACACATGGTTACATTACTAAATTCCGATACAATGCGGATACGAGACCTTTTAACAACTTTAGAAGTTCACCACAGACATGCAAGGAGCATCAATGTGGTAGGAATAACTCTTAAAATAATTGCTGGAACGCCTGACTTTGATGACTTCGATTGACTTAAATTTAAACAACAAGAAATCACAAACGCTATGAACAGACAAATATCAATAAACACAAAAACTCAGGAACAAAATTATTCAATGACAAAGCCTAAACAAACCGGATCACTTGTATGAGACCCTACTTTCTAGAAATCGAATAATAATTTGCGAAATCGAGTCATTAATATTGTCAGTCATCTTAGCAAAGATAGTAATAATTAACCCCATGCTTTTAGATACTAAAGACCTGAAAAATGTAATGGAAATAGATAATATAAATGTAACTATTACAGATTTGTAGGAAGTGTCTCTTGTTAAAGTCCTTTTAGACAGTAAGCTATTACATTTTATTATAAAGTACCCTAAACCTAGTTTGGAATGTAAGAAAATCATTGTTTTCCCAGTTCAAAACAATGGAACAACACTACATCTCACTGACAACAATGTTGCTGATTGCGGAACACAAACGTTGGTAATTGGAAATTGAAGCGCTACTCTAACATCATCATTTTGTCAAGAACTATCGGAAACAATATGCGCTCGATCATCAAGACATACTAAGTCTTCTTTATCTACAAAGATTAAGCATAAAAAATCTACAGCATATCAATGACGTAAAGGCAAAGGCACTGATACGTCCTGCATTTTCAATCTTAATTTTTGCTGGTAAGCCCGGCTAATACAGAACTTGTACTATTCACAAAGAAACGCAAAATAGATCAATTTTCGAATGAAGTTACACTGAATCTCTCCTCGTGCCCCAAACATTTCAGTACGACCCAGGACCAGGTTTTAAACTAAATAAGAACACCGAGTAGCGTACTAAAAAGGCCTCATTGCACTCTATTCATGCAGGAACGCCATTGCGAAAAGCTGGGGCTTAGGTCACAAGTAGTACACTAGATGCATGTCACAGTGGTCTTATCTGTTCTCAATTTGTGGGTGCCTGTCTGGTGGCATGTGATTCAATTCAGAGCATCCATATTCCATATTAACCACAGATCAGATAGACGCTTCCTTACTTACATCCTAACCTCTCAAGAGCACCCCTGGATATTTTGGCTAATTCCCAAATAGCAAGTGTGCACTGAGAATACCGGAAGCTGTAAGATGGCGCTCTTCCCGTATTGATCATACACAAATGCGGCACATTTTTTTATCCTCCACCTTGACAAGAAGGGTATATTAACTTTGTCATTCCATATGTATCTTCCCTAAATATTCGTCGTAGACCCGTTAAAGTATATATATGCATAATCAGCATAAAATTGAAATGGAATCACGATACATAGTTGGTATTGAAAATGAGACCTATCGGCCCATCTTTTGATATAGCCGCAATATTACGGTTCTTCCTGATATTCGGTATTTTGATGATTTTTGTCACATTTTTTCATGGATTTGTTTAAAAATTTTAATTTTTAGGTCACAGTGGGTCCTAGCTACATTAGCGCAACGTTGAACGTGTTTTTTTAGTTCCCATATAATGGTACCTCACGATGTTCGTTATTTTAATGATTTTTGCCACATTTTTCCACAGATTTGTCTAAAAATTGGTATATTTAGTTCATATTGATTTCTAGCTCCGGTTGAGAACACTAAATACTTAATTCTATGTAGGGCGCATATAACGATATCCGCCGATATTCGATATTTTTATTATCCTAGACTCATTTAACCACGAAATTGTTCCAAATTTGGTATTTTAGAATGCAGTTCTTCTTCTGCAGTTCTTTTGGAAAATCTTCTAAATCCTACACCCGCATTTTTAAACATTTTCATCTTTCTGCACTTATTATGCTTTCGTTCTAAATGAACGAAATAGCATAGCCATGTAAGTTGGTTTTGTTTAACCAAAACCGATTCGTCGATCTTGCCTTGTCTATTAAGAGAACAGTGTTGGCATGCTTGTTCGGAAGTTCATGACTGCCACATTTTTCATTTATTTTTATTACGCCTACGACTGTAGTAGGGAAGTGGACGGAATTCATTATCTTCACGCTGTAGCAGAGTTCCAGACAAACCAATAGAACAAATATCCACCATGTTCTTTTTTTGGATCAAACTGTGCCAAGACTGGTTGTATTGTAATTTTGCTCTTCAGGGTAATGAAAGAATTTTTCTCAGGATCTTTCCAGAAAAAAACGGCACAACTTTTCATTAGTCTTGTCAGTGACATTGCATTTTACACTACTTTCATAATCTGCTACATTTTCACAGGTTTACTTTGTGGTTAATGATTTATATAGCTGATGGTTTGGTATTTTGCTTCAGACGGATTTTTTTAAACAAAATTAAAGAAATTTGGTATATGAAGTTTGTAATATATATTTAATCTTCAGATTTTACAGTCGATGTTATAAAAAGTTCGGCCAGAACGAACTTTATTGCTTGTGTATTTATAGTCTAAAATGTGTTATGATTAAAAACTTGTAATGATTACTTAAAACTTGGATACATACCATTATGAATTTCATCTGCCCTGTAAAATTTTCTTCTTTTTGCAATAAGTTCCGTAAAGTGTGATATTAAAGCATCTATCATAGATGCTTGCTGGGAGAATATTTGCATGAGCTTTGACATTGGAAGACCATTTTCCACAACGTCGAACTGGAAACAAATATAAAATAAAACAAGTAAAAAAACATTAAGTTCGGCCGGGCCAAACTTTTAATACCCTCCACCTTAGAGTAAAAGAAACATTAGAAGAAATGTGGCAAAAACCATTAAAATGCCGATTATGGGGAGGTACCGTTATATGGGGGCTATACCAAAACGTGGACCTATAATTACAATGTTTCGCCACCGGAGCTGGAACCCATTATGACCCACAAATACCAATTTTTAGACAAATCAGTGAAAAAATGTGGCAAAAACCATCAAATACCGAATATCGGGAGGTACCGTTATATGGGGGCTATATCAAATCATGGACCCATGCATGCAATGTTTCGCCACCGAAGCTGGAACCAGTTATGACCAACAAATACCAATTTTCGAACAAATCCCTGAAAAATGTGGCAAAAATCATCAAATTACCGAATATCGGGAGGTACCGTTATATGGGGGCTATACCAAAACGTGGACCTATAATTACAATGTTTCGCCACCGAAGCTGGAACCCATTATGACCAACAAATACCGATTTTTAGACAAATCCGTGAAAAAATGTGGTAAAAAAACTAAAATACTAAATATCGGGAGGTACGTTTATATGGGTGCTATACCACAACGTGGACCTATACATGCAATTTTTTGCCACACGCTCAGGGACCCGCTATGACCTACAAATACCAATTTTAAGACAAATCCGTGAAAAAATGTGGCATAAATCATCAAAATACCGAATATCGGGAGGTACCGTTATATGGGGACTATACCAAATTATGGACCCATACATGCAATGTTTTGCCACACGCTCAGGGACCCGCTATGACCTACAAATACCAATTTTAAGACAAATCCGTGAAAAAATGTGGCATAAATCATCAAAATACCGAATATCGGGAGTTACCGTTATATGGGGACTATACCAGAACGTGGACCGATATATCTCATTTTCAATACCAACCATCCTAGACACAATGCAAATAGCTCTGCTAAATTTTGGAGCTCTACGTCAAATAATGTGGGCTGTATCGTGATTTCAACAGACAGACAGACGGACAGACAGACAGACAGACAGACGGACATCGTTAAATCGACTTAGAATTTTATGCTGATTATGAATATATATACTTTATGGGGTCTAAAACGAATATTTAGGGATGTTACAAACGGAATGACAAAGTTAATATACCCTCCTTTCCAAGGTGGAGGGTATAAAAAATGTCTATTCATAAATTTTGAAAGTATTGTGATTTTTATCTTCCTGACAATTATTAAAAATGTCCTATTTTACATTTTAAAATGCCGTAATTTATTTATTCCATACATGTTCTAATTTATTATTGATGGCACATATTTAATCGCAGTTCTCAAAGTGGATTGAATTGAACAAAGAGAAAAAATTTTTGTTCGCTCAGCAAATTGTGTGTGGAGGAATAAACTAGATATTTAATAATTCAGGTTTTTTTTTAAAATAAATGCAATTTTGGGAGTACAATACAAAGTTAAAAATGCAACATGCTGTAGACTCCTTAAATATGTCCGTTCTGGGTCAATGATCAACGACGACAAACTCAACAACTGTCTGTGAGACTTGACAATCCGGCAACTCTTGACTCTTCGTCCCTTTTGGGCTAACTATCAACGAACTCATGAACTCATTAACTATTCGAAATAACCTTCCATTTTCAATGAAATAGTCCGCCTTGACCTGACTTTGTTTTATTTTCTTATAAGTAAATTACTAGTAAGGAGTTCAAAGATATGTTTTAGCTTGCTATCAGACACTTGCAGTTTATAAACCCAGTCGATAATGTTCATTGTGAGTACCAACATATTTCCCGCTACTGTTTCGTATTGACATGAAGGTCACGTTGGACATCAGCTCGTCCCATCCACATGAGTCATCTTCGCAACTGAGCGATGGGTAACGATAGAATCAAACACCTGTAATATCTTTACGAGGGGATAATGGAGGCGTTGCTTTTTTTAATGCTTTGGAATTGCAATCTGTGACAATTTTGAAGCACTTTCCGAGTAGGTAAATTCTAAGCATAGTAGGAAACTGGACGGAATTCATTATCTTCACGCTGAAGCAAAGTTCCAGACAAACCAACAGAAGAAACATCCGTCATGTCCTTTATTTGGATCAAACAGTGCTAAGACTGGTTGTATTGTACTTTTGTTCTTCAGGGTAATGAAAGAATTTTCCTCGGGATCTTTCCACATAAAAACGGCACCCCTTTTCATTTGTCTTATCAGTGACATTGCTATGTGGCTATATTTTGGCATGAACTTTCGAAAGAAGTTAGTAATGACAAAAAAACTTGAGCTTTCGGGTCTTCGAACCTTTTTATGTCTACTGTCTTTTCTACTCCATGGCGTATGCCATTAGCACTCACTGGATGTCGTAATAAACTTACACTCTCCTGAAGGAACGAACATTTACTTGGCCTTGGCGTCAATCCTTCTTCTATGGCTACTAGGAACTCTTCCATAACTTGGAGTCTTTCACTTATCGTCAGGCTCGGGATTATTACCCCATCCACATAGCTTATGATTATTCTTCGATTTTTCAACTTACTTATTTCTTGCAAGACCACTGGGGCATTTGTTAATCCGAAAGGCATTACATTATACTTATAGAGACTGTGTTGGTAATGAAACTAATTCCTTGGATGCTACCTGGTATTATCCTTACGTCATGTCTATCGTCTTAAAATACTTATTTCCAGATAACAATGAAAGCTGCTCTTCAATCACTGCTTTTTGATGGTTACTTCATTAAATGCTCAATAATACGTGCACACGCGACTTTCACCGTTCGCCTTTTTTACCTATAAAACTGAAGCTGCATATGCCGAATCACTTGGACGAATAATACGACATCAAAGCAGCATATCAATTATATCTGACACAATTTGTCTTTGAGAAAATGTAACTTGGTATATCTTGCCAACACTAGAATTGGCTGTAGACTTATTTCCCTTTGTGTACTTTTACAACACCGAAGATTTTCAAGGTTTTCAGCAATACAATGTTCATATGACGTCAGTATTTTTAAGTTACCTTTTTGTTGCTCTTTCAGACTTTCTCCGATAATAAATGTACTTGACATTGTTGACTTCACTTTCAAATCGATGCTCACTTCACTCTGAATAATAGATCCACAAAAACCTTTCATTCTTCTTGACTTCAATTCCATATTAGCACCTTCTGCAAATAAAGCCTTCCGCATTAAGATAAAGTCGCTTTTTGTGTCCACAAAACCTTCAAAATTCTTACCAATGGTCGTAACCTCTTAAATAAATGATGGACAGTAATCCTGTCAGCTTCCACGATTGTGCATTTATTTATGCATTGCGAAGCATCGTGACCAAACATTGAACATTTACTACTCTTTGGCTTCTTCAATGGTTGTGGACAACTAGTTCATGCGTGTTCGATCTTATTACAATTAAAATATGTTGCTTCCTTGGTAACGCTCCACCTGAGCACTTGTGCTTTTGTTATCCTCATCATTATTTTTATGCTTCCTTGCATACGTTGGTACGGTCAATTTCTCCAACGACATTCATAGTTCTGTCTCAGGGTTCATAGCTAAAAGTGTTTTTGTTATTCTACCGTCATTGATGTAATTTATGATGTACGACAACGTCGAAGCCACGTCCGTGCTTCTTCTTTCCCCTATGGTCAATATTTCACCACTTGTAAAGGTTTTTATCTACATTTTATAGACACTATTAATTTTACGACGAACTGCAAACATGGCTGTTTCATTTGACCATCCGTGTAACATTTACTACTTTTCAACCTTGTCAATGAAGTGGTTTGATGTAATATTTCCTTTAACTGGGTCGAAGTCTGGTACCATAACCATGTATTCACTTAAACAAGCAGATGTTCCTGGTTGTCTTGGTACAGTCTGCCTTTCAACCTGCTGTTATATATCTCTTACGTTAAATGTTGAATTTTAGACGACCCTTCTGCTGATGTGGTCGTTAACTGCTGCACACTTCGTATTATTTGTTAGAGAATCATCGCCTATCTCAGCTTCAATAAATCCATGCAAATTCTCCTGTGACTCTGAATCTTCAACTTCAACACTTCGTCACTACCTTGCAAGCCATGAGACTAGTAATTTTTCTTGTACTTATTTCCTGTTCGTCGTTCTTCTTTCCAGCTAAAACTTGTCTATATTGATTTCGTTATTCCGGTTGCAACTCATTGAAATACTCATGTAAGAACCAACAAAGTCTGTATATTCTTGATCAGCGTAGTCCGCCTCCCTCATTGTCTGTCTGTTGTAATCACGCCGTTTCGAACGAATTGGGATAGAAGGTTAACTTTTGCTCATATTGTGATGGCGGAAGTCGCAGGCTCGTTTCCGGTCACACAAACGTGTCTGGTTCCGGTAATTAGCGGAAATTATTTATATTTTATGAATCCTTTTTTTTAGTAAATATATGGCAATTCTGGATTAATTGGAAGAAAACTTATATTTCCCTTTATTTTCGATTGTTGCCACTGACCGCTTATCGGGGGAAAAACAAGTAGCAACAAAACGCAGGTCGATCCTAACTTAAGAAAAACAAGTAGCAACAAAACGCACGTCGATCCTAACTTAAGAAAACAAGTAGCAACAAAGCGTACGTCGTTGCCAAATCGTAAACAAGTAGCAACAAAACGCACGTCGATGATAACTTGTAAACAAGTAGTAACAAAACGCACGTCGATCCTAACTTGTAAACAAGTAGCAACAAAACGCACGTCGATACTACCTTCAAAACAAGTAGCAACAAAACGTACGTCGTGGCTAAATCGTAAACAAGTAGCAACAAAACGCACGTTACAGGGACTGCAATGCGCTGCTTGTTTGTAACAACTACCAACAAAACGCGCGTCGTTGGATCGGTAATGCGTTACTGGCTCGAAAACAACCAGCAACAATACGCAAGTCTCTGGAACTGTGATGCGTAAACATCTAGCAACAAAACGCACGT